AACTAATGTACACCAACCAAGATTTGATTGAAGTTCACTTGATATGAACTTGATCTCAACTTTCTTTGTCATCAAGAAACTTATTCATTTTTTTTTTGCAAAAAGATATTTTAAAGTGAAGCAGTTTTATCTTTACCTTACTATTTTTTAACTATTTATGGTTTTATGATATAAATAGTTTATTCTCCAGCTTAACAGTTTTATTTACGGCTACTGCTATATGATGCTTTCTGACATGATGACAAGGAGGTTAACAACAATGTCGGCCAGGAAACTTAGCTAATCTTGTACAAACCCTTTTTAAATAGCCAAAGTTAACTGCATGAGATCAAAAGCCTTTAATAAATTTCTAATTGCTGTGTATTGGGTCTCAATACTACTGTGTTTAAAAACCACATTTTTTTAGTTTCATAACGAATTTGTGCGTTTTAAAATACCACCAGTTAACAAAAATAATAGTAATAAAAATACCCACAATCGTTATAGATAAAAGACCTTCCATTACTTGTAATGACATTATTATATAGTTAATGATTTTTAAATTTCTATTTGCACCGATTGTTTAAAAATACCCATAAAAATTTTGAAAATGTAAAAATTTCAAACTTCAAAAGAGTGGCACAAGTATAAAGGGTCATCTAAAATAAAAAATTTCATCTAAAATAAAAAATTTCATTAAGAAAACAGCACCTTGGTAATATTTTGCAACACTCCGCGTATAAATATTTGTTCATGAGGGTCAAAATGGGATGGGCTAATATATATATATATGTTATGTGTGCTCAATTATCAATATATGCATGTTTTTATACATATATTATATGTGCATATTTATACAATTATTATATTTGCATATTTATACATATATTTTGTTAGCTATAAATAAAAGTTCTTTGTATTTTCTATAGGGTAGATTAGGGTAATATGAGCACCTTGGTTATATGAGCATACTTAAAGATTTCTCAGAAGTAAGGAGTGAAGTTAAAGTTGCTTTGTATTTTTTGAATCAACTTTATGTGGTGATAACAGGAATCAGTATATTTAGCGTAAATTTGTATGCAGTAATTAGCGGCTATCATCAAATTAAAATGCTGTTAAACTTTTTGTGTTGTTAAAATAACATCATCACTCATGAATAAATCTGTGGCGCAATATTTTGGTACTAAATTAATGAAACTAATTTTTCATGAAGAAAAATATGTTAGCTAAAAATCCAATCCATTTTTGTTTGAAAACAATACATAGAAACAATTAATTTTGACTTTATTTAAAGATGTTGTTTTTGTGTAATATGAGCATGCTCAAATTACCCAGTGTTTTTTATTGAAAATACCTAGCTTAAAGTCCTAAAATAGCTGTGATTTTAAAAGCTTTTTAAATAAAGATAAAACACAGTGAATAGTTTTAATATTTTAGCAATACTAAATATTTTTCAGCAATTTAAAATTAAAAAATTTTAATTTTTTTATTTAAAGGTTTAAGTTAATAAAATTGAAAAACTAATTTTTTTTGCAGAAAACATAGCAGTATTGTTTCAACAAAAAGTGGTTCAAAATTTGATTCTTTAATGATAAGTTTTATTAATAATGAATCATTATATTTCAAATATTAGTTCTAATTGTCAGGTTGGTATTTTTTACTTAATGTTATTTTTTTTTGAGCTAATTTAAAAATAACCAAGTGGTCTGGGTAATATGAGCACTTTTGCTTTTTTTTTAAACCTCTGTGTTTTTTAAAAAAAATTTTAGGTGCCCAAATAATTATAGGGAATATATGTAAAGATATAAAAATTGTGTATTTGTAAAAATTTTGGATCTAGCTTAATTATTTTTGAAAATAATCCAATTTTCAAAAAAGCTCATATAACCCTAATCTACCCTATGTTATATTTAGATACAAATTCATATTAATTTGAACTATACATGCTCACTAGTACAATGTTCTAACTATGTTTGGTGACTGTTGCATAGTTGCTTGGGAATGCACTAGTCTAAGATATTAAGTTTTATCAATTTTTTTCTAGGGAAATAAATAGGGAAAATTAATGATTTAACTTCTTGACTCTTAATGACAACTCTTAAAAATATTTTTAGTACTTTTAAAAATAATTTTAGGAGATTTCTGATAAATTTATCTGAAACAGTATGTCAGACAAATTGTAGTGCATTTCCTCCCAATCCCATCAGTATTAATTATACATTGCTAATATTTTAAAATTAGTTAAGCTTTCTTTTGTTTAATAAAGTTAATTTATTTTTCTTTCACTTGGCTTTTTTAATAACTTTGTAAGTGTCTAGTACTAGCCTAAACTTGTATAGACTTTTAGAAGTTATTATTAAAGGTTGTAATTAATGAATAAAAATAAGTTAGTTAGCAGGTTTTCAACCAAAGTGCTTCTTATATATTATTAAAAACATACTTTGTTTAAAATAATTTGGCATTCCAAATCCAGAAAATACGTTTAAATCAAAGAGCTAAGGGGTGTTCACAGTGGATAAATTTTCTAACAGCCAACATAGCCTAAAGTTTAAAATCAAAATATTTTAGAAAATTGCAAAACATTTCTATAAATATTTCAATGTGCTGATTTCAATGTGTATTTACCTATAGACACACTGAAGTTTAATGGATCATAAAAGTTGTAAATTTTAAATTTTTACTTTAATGAACTAAGTCAGAATGTATAGTTAAATAAAAAGTATCAGTACTTATTATAAGGAGTTTTTATTAAGACCAATTAGAACATTTCCGTTATTGTTTAACTAGAGAAAGTATTAATAAAGATATATTTATAATGAACAAATAGATTTACGAAGTAGTATTATAATTCAAATAAATTTTATAAGTTCTCAACTTATATAATCTGAAAATGTAAAAATAGCTGAAAATTACCTCAATTACCAATATTAAATAAGTGACTGAGGTCCCAGCCCTAGCTAAAAATGGGACTTTTTACAAACTCTGCTCTAGTAAATTTTTAAGATTTAGCATGGATTGAGAGCCAGGGCTAGGAAATAACTTATAATACTTTATTATAAATTTATGCATACATTTACTATTTATTAAATATATATATATATATATATATATATATATATATATATATATATATATATATATATATATATATATATATATATATATATATATATATATATATATATATATATATATATATATATATATATATATATATATATATATATATACATATATATATATATATATATATATATATATATATATATATATATATATATATATATATATATATATATATATATATATATATATATATATATATATATATATATATATAAATTAGTAAAAATACTTATTTTCAAAGTATTAAGTTAAATGATAGGTTTTGTTGCTATTAAGTAAATGTTTTTGTTGATGTTGTAAGTCAATTTAAAGGGTTTTAAAAATATTTCATTCAGATGAATATATGGTTTCTTTTCTAATTGGTTTTCTTGATGTCTTTCGGAATCTATTGAAAATTATTATAAAATCTGAGGTAAATTAAGGCTTACTAAGCTTGCTTTGTTTGAAACTGTAAATCTTGTTATTCCTGAGTTGATAAAGTTTTCTACTGTTACTAAAAAGCATTGTTAAGCTCTAAGATCTAACTTTAAAATTTTTTATGAGATTAGCAGGATTGTAAATGAATATTTGTGTTAAATGAAAAATTTAAGGATTATTATTTTTTTTTTAATAATTTGTTTTTTTAAATTGTTTTTTTTTTTGTTAAACTACTAATTGTTTATCTACTCATGGTTTAGTTTTGGCCAAAAAAAATATGTGTTTATTGAATCTGCCTTTAATGAATAATAAGACTGATTTATAATGCTTTACTCTGAAAATAGATATCATATGTTTTTTACTGAGTTTATACAAAGTAATACATAGTAATACGCTTTGAAAAAAAGTAATAATAATAAACGCCAAGCTTCTGTTGAGAGAGGTTCTTTATTATCAAGAAATCTTTTACATTTTCAACAAGAGAAAAAACTCTCTTTATGCAAAATTGATTTGGCTTGAACAAGCAATTAAAGTTTTAGTTTTATCACAAGTTGTTATTTAAGTTGTAATTTGCTAGTATTTAGAAGTTTCTTATCAATTTTTTAAATTAATAATTTCAATTATTAATTATCAAAAGATCATTGAAGTGAAGATTATGATTATGAAGATTCCTCCCTTTTATAATACTCTAATTTGTATAATAAATAAACCAATATAAAAAATATTAACAAAATAAAAAAAAAAAATTTAAAACAATAAAAGGGATGAATCTTCGAAGATTCCTCCCTTTTATTGTTTTAAATTTTTTTTTTATTTTGTTAATATTTTTTATATTGGTTTATTTATTACACAAATTAGAGTATTTGTGTGTTTATGTTGATTAGACACAAATTTAATCAAAATTTACCTGATATTTGAAAAACAATAATTAAAGCAATTTTAACATTTACTTGAAAATTTTTTAATAAATTTTAATTTTGTATACATTAGTTTTAATTAGTTTTCTTGTTTTTCTGAATTTTCAATTAGAAATAAAAAATCTTTCATTTTCAAAACTGTTTGTTGTAAATATTTAACATGTATAACGTAATTTTTACTAATTTATTATTCATTTACAATGAAAAAGTTCATAAATTATCAATAATATTGATACTAGTTTGATATAAATATAATATTTTTAATGCCATATTTAAGTACATACAACTCTATAATCAAAAACTGATTGTACTTTGTGTCAGTGTTTATTATTGTCATGTCTTGTAAAAGTATATGCATTAATAATGTTTTTGATTGAAAAAATAACAAATTATAAAAGCTCCTTGAAAAATTTTGTTTTGTATGAGTGGTATGTATGTTTGTATGAGTATGAATTAAAAATATGAGTGGTTGAGTATATGAGTTTGATATGAATATGAATTAAAAATATGAGTGGTTGTATTGTTTTGTTTCTCTTTTATTGTTTCGTTTTCTAATTTTAGGTTTACCATTCGGTATTACTATAATTACATCTGTTAGTAAACCTGAGTACCTAGGTCCTTCATCTGATAATGATGCTAAAATGTAAGCAAATTTTGTTAAATATTTTTTATTATGCATTAATGGTATATAGCATGAATAGAATAAGTTATAAATTAGTTTACAAATAAAAATCAATTTACAAAATTAATTTAAAAATTCAATTTACAAAATCATTTTACAAAACCAATTTACAAAATCAATTTACAAAAATTTACAATTTACGAATCAATTTACAAAAAAAAAAAACTCTCAAAAAATAAGAATTATGTAATTATGTTATTATCTAAAATCAAAATTTTGAGGAAATATATAATTTTTCCTATTATGTTAACACTTCTTTTTTATCAAAAGTTTGAAACTTTCACAGCTTGAATATATCAAAAGAAAAGAAAAAAAGTTAGAAAAGTTAGAAACTTTCACAGCTTGAATATTGTGCATTAATCAAAAAATGAATTAGTTAAATGGTTACGATCATAGCTGTTGTCTCTTATTTGATAATTGTCACTCAAGTAGCATACAGAAAAAGACATTGATCACATTAATGGTATTGAAAAAGATGAAAAACCATTAATCAAGTTCTCACAGGATTGTAACTATTTGTAAGTCTCGCCAGTAACATTCGTAAGTGTGGTTGGTTGGTTCACAGCAAATCATAAGTTAATAGAAAAACATAGAACTTTCATTTTTCAAGTAGCCATTGAGTTTGCCAGAATAACATGTTATGCAGCAATATTTTATCCTGGTTACCAATTTTAATGCTATATAAATTTGATCTTCAGCTTTAATTCTCTTGGTTGGTTTGTTTTCTTGTTTAGTGAATACTATGCAAATGTAAAATATATTGTTTAGATAATTAATGCAAGCTCAGCATTTTTTTTATTATAAAATAAATTAATTGATCCAGAAGACATGGTGCTCCAAAGTACAAAAACATAATTAATTTGTATATAATGTAGATATGCCTTCTGAATTAGTTGTTTCATTACTATTACTTTATTATATACAGTTAAAAAAAATTTTTTAATGCAAATGAAACATAAGAATAATAGTTAAAACCTAGGGGTAGTCCATAAATTTCGTCACACATTTTTTGACCATTTCTGACCCCTACCCTCCTCCTCTCTTATCACAACATCGTAACACTTTAGTAGCAAGTCCTGTACAAGTTGTCACATAAACCACTAACATTTACTAACCCCCTCCCCTCTTCTTTCCTCAGCCTCAAGCCTGACGTAATTTATGGACAACCCCTAATAAAATATATATTGTAATTATTAAATTAATTATATATTGAACCATGAAATTAAATCATAATATATATATTTTGATCAGTAAGTAATCAATAAATGGTTTACCCATGCTTTTAATGGTTGATGCTATTTATTGAAAGCATAATTTAAAGGAAAGAACACCATGTGTTCAACTGTAATTAAAGTGGCTGACAATTCAATCTAGGTGTTAACGTTGTTTGTTGAAAAGACTTTAAAATTCAAATGAAACAAATAAAAAACAAGTGTCTACAATTTTAACTTATTGCAATTTTTTTGGAAATCACTTGTCACATCAAATCATTTTTATAGTTTGAAATTACATAAAAATAAGGATTTTTTTTTTAATGTTGTTTGTATCCAGAAGACCAAGAAGGCCACCAAACCTACACGTGATTCTAAAAAAGATAAGAAAACAATAAAGCACCCAACACAATTGTTTGAAAAAAGAAAAGAGGTAAAACAGCAAATTTTAACAAACAAAAGTATAAAACCTTTTTAAAACCAACTCTTGAGATGGTCTAAGAAATATAAAATAGCAAGCAAAGAAATTTGAAATAGCAAATATGTCTACTATTTAAAGTATTTTATGTATTTTTGCTGTAAGCTATGATATTGATTGTCTTTGTTATATTCTTATTATTGGATTATTTTAAGTTTTTTTTTTCCCACGTCTTACTGTTTTCTATATAATCTAACTGTGTTACCTTGTCCAGTTAGGTTATGTTAACCAGGTTTGAAAAAGTAAAACTAATATGAAGAAATTTGTAATATGAAGAAATTTTAGGTAAATAGTTTAAGGTCTATTATAAATATATTTTTTAAATTAATTACTAAAAAATTTTTTTTTTATGTTTTGTATATTTTATATGTGTTTTTTTTATGTTACATATTTTAAATGTTACATATTTTTAATATGTTATATATTCTATATTTTATATTATTGTAAGAAATGATTATAAAATTTTAATGCTATTTGATTTTCCCTATTTATTTTTGAAATCATTAAAATAATTAAATTAAGGTATGAAAAATTTTATTGAAGATTTATTCATGTCATGCATAAAATCCATATTATGCATACTAGCTCCTTTATTGCTCCACTTGTCATACACAGCTGCTCAATTTACAACACTCAGGCCGGTTGGTAAGCTATAGGAAATATCATTTCAAAAAAAATTAAAACAAAACTTTTTTTCTCAGATAATTTCTAGCAGGTTAACTTATCTTTCTAATAGTGAAAAAATTATGTAAATTCGACGCGCTGTTCGAAAAATCTGATTAATACTTGAAATCTCAAGGTAAGGCTAAAGTTAAAGCAGGACTAAATGAATTTGTTTTGCATAACCTTAGTTCATAATATTGATTTGATGTGTCTTTTCCATGACTTGCATTGTTCCATTCAAAACTTTGGAGTGGTAAATTGCGTTTTATCAAAACATTGGTTTGATTACTTTGACTGTTTATAGCAGTATATTGTTTTATTAAATACAATAAAATTTTCATTTTTGAAATAAAATTTTTGTGTTTACTATTGTTATCCCAGCAAGCATTCTATAGCCGAAGTTTAGTTGATCTATATAGGCAATTTGAGCCCTCCACTTTAGTTTTGCTCATCAACTACTTAGCGGACCATTAGTGGTAGCCGCCAAAAGTGGCTACCCGGTGATAAGTCACTATATCACATGTTGGAAAGTTATCGGCTGGCTACTTTTAGTGGATGCCACTAATGATCAACTTAGTTGCCGATGAGCAAACCTCAAATAAACCGCTCAAAATTCCTATATAGGTCCACTGCAAATCAACTACAAAAATATTTGCTAGAATTTTACAATTGGCTTTGCGAGATAAACTTTCCGTTCGTGACACCTCCCCCGTACATTAATGTTTAATTAATTTATTCTCTCTTTATTTAGATGTGTTGTTCGAGGTTTTCCGTTTTACTTGGGTATCCTTTTACCTGTCTGCTTGGTAATGGTATCTAATATTTTTATTCTTATATCAGTTCTTAGAACTATTAATCGTAACTCCGACCTTCATAACAACAATAAAAACAAAAAGAAAGTTCGAATTGTTTTTACGTGCTCTTTATTACTTGGTACAACTTGGTTATTTGCAGTTTTAGCTGTCGGAAAAGCAAGAGACATATTTCAATGGTTGTTTTGCATTTTTAATTCTTTACAAGGGCTATTTATTTTCTTTTTCTACACTGTTGAGAACAAAAAAGTTAAAGAACAATGGATGTTATTTATGTGGGGAAAATTAAGAAGAAAAAAGACAAAAAAGACAACGGGTAAGTTCTTAAATGTTTTTTTTTTTTTGTGTGTGTGTGTGTGTGAAAATCTGGTCGAAGTAATTTTGTAGCAAACAATATCGTTTAAACTTACATAGCCTTTTAATTTTTGGTTACAGGGCCGACGACACGGGATTCAAAATAGGGGGGCACAATTGTCAATTCTTAAAAAAAGTCTTCTATATCTAGAATTTTCTTATGAAAAAAAAAGGGCCGTTAGATAAAAAGTTGGGTGGGCACGTGCCTTCCTGACACGTGTCGTCGGCCCTGGTTGAATACAAAAAACTGTTTATTTGTTTTTTTTTAAATACTTTTGTAAATTTTAAAGGCAATTTTTAAAAACTTTGTTTTTAGTAAACTCAAAGATGCGAACAATTTCACAAACTACAACTATCTCTTACTTTACAAATTCTAAGGAAAGATTCAATAATATGTGCGTTGATTCTAAAGATGCAAAGTTGTAGACCATATAATTTGGCTAATTATTGGTTCATAGACGTTTGCAGAGGTTTTTGAAGATCTAAAATTTAAATCTTTTAATGTTCTCAACCCTTTTTTAGTCGCTAAGCTCAAATGCTTGATTTTAAACATTTAAACATCACGTTTTTACGTTCTGTTCATTTGTGACCGTGTAAATAGAAATAATCGATCAATGAAAAATAACTGGGTTTGTTTATGAATTATTTTTTTTCTGAAAAACCTTTTTTTAAAAAAATCTTTCAACTTAAAACTGGATAACCCTTTTTTAACATATAATTTTAATTTGAATTATAAAATATTCAGTTATTAGTTTACACAATAGCGTTTTCAAGCTCGTATAAAATTGATTCAGTAACATAATATTATATAGGTCGATAGCACGGGTGTTACAAGGTGAGCTTTACGGCTTCTTGTTATTTTTTGAAAATAATCACTTAGAGAGTGTTACTAAAACCTTTAAAACTTTTGAATTAATAGAGATAATTTTGTTCTGTAAAAAGATTAATAATACCAATATAATTTTTTATCTTATGACATTTAAAGATAAATCAAAGCTTATTTGATTTTTTAATAAACGGGTAAATAATGAGCATAGCTAAATTATTTATAAATTTATTGGTCCTTTTATCAAAACAAAATATGAAAAAACATCTTTTAAATATTTATTATCAAATATAAACATCGTTAGACCATTATAATTTAAAAAAAAAAGTCTACTTAAACTAAATGTGATATAAAACAGGGATTATTAAAGATCAGACATCAAAATCGTAAAATAATATTAAACAAAATATTTTTAAGTCGTATGTTTTACATCATCACTTTGAAAACGTTAACAAAAATTTACGCGAAAAACTAGAAAAAGTTGGTAAACATGTTAAGTTTAAATAGATATTCTAGAACATAGCTAGAGGTACCGAAAATAGTTTTTTTATTTTTATATGCATAAAAGGTTAAAATTTAAAAAACCTACGTTATTGATCAAAAATGTTATATTTTACATCTATAAATAATAAAACTAAATATATAAAACCCAAAAAAAAAATTTTTTTAATAAAAACACACCAGTAACGTAAGAATACAATAAAATAGACACTTATTGATAAATTTCAACTGTTTCAAATTTCAACTTATTCCAAATTTCAACTGTTAGGCACGTAGCTATGTTCTAGAATATTAGTTTGCCCAAGGTTTTCAGTGAAAATCGCAAAAAATAGATAAGTGATCCTAAATCATAAGCAATATTTTATAATGGTCCGTTTAATATAAATATTTATTTAACAAAGAAAGATAGATCTTTTATTTTTTTTTTATTTGAAGGCGAAAGCTTTTATAGGAAAAAAATAATATTACTTTAAAGTTTGTTAATTGTTATACTTTCTATGCGGAAATACTTTTTTTTTTTTTTTAAATTCAAAATTTTTTGTGACGTCAAGCTTGCTTTTACATTGAAACAGCCGTCATAGATACACAACTGTACATATGTGAAAATGTTAAAGTTGTGAAAAGTGAAATGTTAAAGTTGTTAAAGAGTGAAACAGCCGTGATAGATACAAATGTAATACACAACAGTACATATGTGCAAATGTTAAAGTTCTTTAAATACGTTTAAAAAATGATTTTGCATGCATTATAATCAGGTAATACATTTTTAAATCGGTGAAATGTAATGCTTTGAGTAACAAGATAATGTTTTCATGTTTTTGACATGAACAAACATTTCTAGACATTAAGCTTGATAAAAGTATATGGCCTGGTCTAGCAAAACTAGCAAACTTTGATTTACTGATTGAAAAAATCAGTGTGTTCGTTTTTAATTATTTGATATGCTTCACTTATATTCATTGTTAAATACCTTTTTTGCATTTTCTTTTTTTCTTTATTACTTCTTAAAACAATCGTATCTCTTACCTCAGGTGCCTGACGGGATATACCATCTTGCTCAAAAAAACTAATGACGCATAGCTTGTTTGTCTATATTGGCAAAATATCAAAAAGTATTGGGGTTCTATATCAGTCACGGGATTTACTTAATAAGCATCGTCTAAAACGAATCTATTTCAGTTTTATACAAAGTTACTTGAATTACGCGAATATTGCGTGGTGTAGTACATCTAAAAGCAAGCTTGAAACACTCTATCGAAAACAAAAAAATGCCTTAAGAATAATGAATTTTCAAAATAAAAACCAACATGCAAAACCACTGTTCGAAATTATGAATATTTTTACGTTATACGAGATAAACGTTTATAAAACTTTATGTCTCATGTACAAAAGTAAATTTCAACAATGCCCCTCAATTTTTAATGATCTTTATGAAATAAAACCTAACATTAAATATACTTTACGCACAACAGGCTTAATTGAACCATTGTGCAAAACTAAACAAGAACAATTTAAAATTACGTATCGCGCTTCGCATATCTGGAATAAAATCTTAGCAAAATATAGTAATTTACCAGGTGTAAACAATATAAATTGCTTTCAAAAACTAATAAAAAAGAATATTTTAAAGTATACAAATCTTTTAAACTGCTTTGTTTTTTTGTTTGTTTGTTTTTTTGTTTTTGTCTTTTTACATTGAAAAGTTTTTGGTTTTAACACTATTTACCTTAGTTAATTAAGTTTTGATTTTAACACTATTATAGGAATTTAATATTGTAAAAACATAATTACAACGGTTCTTAATGATACGACTTAATGGTCTTCTGCAAGTTTCCCGCGTTTTTATTTATTTTTGTATAACTAACTCTTATTATTTTGTCTTTGATTTTTTATATTTATAACTGGTTTATTTTTGAAAGAATAAGAGTATCTGGTATTATATTACGGAATTTAATTGTAACAAAAACGGAAAATTAAATTAAAAAAATTTAATTTTAAGAAATGTCACACCGTGTCGTCATAACGCACAGTGCGAAAAAACGGCAAAAACCCTATTAATTTTTTAAATTTATTTTGATGTTTTTTAACTTTATCTTGATTGTTATAAGCATACTGAACAAGGTAAACCCATTTTTTATGATTTTGTAAATTTTTACTCTTTTTGTAAGCTTGTTATATGCAGGTTGTTTGTGGGCAAAAATTCACTAGAAATTTTAGAGTTTTCAAGTAGATCTTAAAATTGTCACAAAATGGTCATTTTTAAAAATTTTTCTTTCATTTTTTCGGTGAACATCATATATATATTATATCATCCGGTAAGTAACTGACATTGGACTTTTATCAACACCAAAAATTAATGTTCGAATTTCACAATTTGTGAAAAAATTAAAAATTTTCAGAAAATAATATTCACAATATTTACTTTTTCTAAAAATGTCCACACTTGTCCACCCTGAATTTTGATGGGGAAGTATCTTGAATATATACAGGAATGCCCGGAAAAAAAAAACCCGCCCCAAAGTAGCACGTTTTTGAAAATTGAATTTTAAAGTTTTTTGCAATTAATAAGAAATCCGCAAAAAGTTGTTTACAAATCCAAAAAATTAGTTAGTAATATGTGCCTTTGTGATTACATCTCAAAATGAAAATAATAGACTTGACTCCCAATGTAAGAGAAATTTGTATAACTAACAAGGATATTGTGAGCCTCCTTTATGAGGAAATTTTGATATCAGAAGGTTTGGATGGTGAAAAAGTGCATAGTGAAAAATTAACAGAAAAAATCCGAATTTTGGTGATAAAATTGAAAGCTAAGTGGATTGCAGTAAACAAAACATATAACAGGCTGTTAATGAAAGAAAAGAAATGGTTGCAAACCGAAATTCAAATTGTTATGAAAGCTGACAATGTAAGCAGAAAAGAGTTCAGTGGAGGGCGACCAAAGAAAGATTGAAAAGATCTAGGAGAGAGAAGTAAGCGAACAAGAGTTGTTGGATTATCTGCGCATGATCCAGAGGTTTTAGCTCTGGCTGCTGTTAAAAGTGAAAAATCATCAGGTGACTTACAAGACTTTGCTTATGTGGTTAAAGAGTCTATTCAGAAAGCATCTGAAATCAGAAAAAGTATGGACAGCAAGGAACCAATAATGATGAGTGAGAAAGAAGCACTTTCATTAAAAGTTAATTGTGATCTCAGTGATGATCAGTATCAAATGATAAGAAACTCTTCAATCAAACACAATGCCAATATTTATCCAACATTACATGCTCTATTCAAGGAAAAAAGTAATTGTTATCCAGAGGACCTTGTTGTAACTGAAACTTCTGCTGAAAGTAAATTACAGTCCATGGTGAATCATACTCTTAGAAAAGTTATTGTATTAAGTGAAGACAATTTAAAAACTCTGGATCCAGATCAAAATGTGCTCAATGGTCGTTTTATTCTAAAAGCAGGGTTTGATGGTGCATCAAGCCAAAGTTTGTATAAACAAAGGTATGATAACACAGACATTGAGGAGGCTAAAAAAAATGAAGAATCCCTTTTCCAAACTGCAATTGTACCTCTTAAGTTAAGTGTAGAAAGTAAAACAATTTGGGAGAATAAGAAACCAAATAGTTCTCATTTTTGCAGACCTCTTCGTCTTCAATACAAAAAAGAAACCACAGAACTTAGCAAGTCAGAAGAAAAACACATTCGTGATCAGATGGCTGATTTGGAAGATTATGTTGAGATTATTACACTTGCGGATGGAAGAAAAGTCAGTATCAATATAAAATCTCATGTTGAACTAACCATGTTTGATGGCAAAGTGGTTAATGCCTTAACCAACACAAAATCATCTGCAAGCTGCAATATTTGTGGTGCGAAACCATCAGAAATGAACAAGCTAGATCTAGTTAAAATTAAACCTGTGAATGATGATGCTATGTCCCTTGGTTTATCATCATTGCATTGTTGGATTAAATGTTTTGAATACATACTTCATTTAGGCTACAGACTGGAGATGACTATTCCAAGGACAGATGTCAGGTTAGCCGAAGATAAGGTACTTGTTCAAGCTAGAAAAAAAACTATTCAAGATAGGTTTAGAGCAGAACTTAGTTTACTGGTAGATGTTCCAAAAACTGGATTTGGGAATACAAATGATGGTAATACTGCCCGAAGAGCACTCATGCATGGTGAGGCTTTTGCTGACATAACAGGAGTTCAGGTTGAGTTGATTCTCCGGGTGAGGACAGTTCTTCAAGCTGTTTGTTCAGGGTATGACCTAAATATTGATAGATTTAGCCAATACTGCAATGAGACTCTAGC